TTTATGACAAAGTTAACGATTTATCACTTATTTTATGACATATAATTACGAAAAAGCCATTTTGTACGCGATGTACGCTTTATTATGTGAGATATTAAGCATATATTTACAAATACAATGTACTATTTTAATATATACACAGTTAATATAATAAAATTATCATGTATTTAGTAAAAAAAATATATTTTTCGTGCAAATTATGGAGGTTTAGGAGGTTTTGATTGAAGTATCGAAAATATACCGGATATTAGTTTCAGTTTGCGTCTCTTTTTTGTTATTAATTTATTATTTATAATACTACCATGCTTTATAATGTTATTAATCACACCAATTTGCAGCTGTTTCTTGCAGAATCATGTTTTTATTTTAATTATTTTTGCGTTTGATTTCTCATATTGACTAGAACATCCGCAACTCATAAATTATAAACGTAACATCGGAATTAAGACTTTTAACAATACAAGGAATCATGTGTACACGCAACACATACGTTTATTCAATTTTGTAATACTTACTGTCGCCCACGACTCCGTCCGCGGGGTATCAAAAAGAAAACATAATTAGTAGAATTGTCAAGCGTCAATAGCCTAATGGTTAAGGATACGGATTTCCGATGACGAGGTCGGGGGTTCGAATCCCGCCATTCGACTATTGTCGTAAACCATATCCTAGCACAAGCCTAGAGCTTAGTTGGAATGGTAAAAGAAATATTAGTAAATTTACAAAAAAAATCTGCTAATATTTTATATAAAAAGAAAAAAAAAAGAATATGTGTTCTTACACACTGTGTTCTATATGTATGCTAAATTTCATCAAGATCCGTTCTCCCGTTCTGGAGATACCTTCAAACAAACATCCATTTATCCATCCATCCAAACATTCGCAATTATAATATTAGTATGATAATTTGTCGAGACCGTGGGAGATCGGACATCTTGCATATCGAAAAGTGATCATGGTGGGCAAACACCTTACTTCCTAAGATTTGGAAATTTTAGGATTTTCTAAATCGTATTGAAACTTTATGACCCTTATAATATCGCAAATCGGGGATCCCCGTATTAATTTACACTACGATTACTTGGAATTCTTGTTAAAAAGTCAACGGAAGGACAGCATTAAGCCAATAGTTGAATACGTCGATTGCGCAATCGTCTTATTTTCTATTTGCTTGATACTAATACAGTAAAATATGACGTCCACATCTATTCTTTATTTTTAAGCGGGATTCCTATCTTAGCTCATGACGTCATTGTGGAACCCGGTCTGATGTTTGCTAAGTCACGACCTCACGATATATGTGCATTGCCTCATGCAGGTACACTGCGGTTAGATTATGTTGTACTGGGCAATAATGAATATGCAATATTAATAATTGTTACTAATATTATAAATGCAAAAGTTTGGATAGCTGCTTCAATATATGGATGAAAACCTCTCTCATCGTACTTACAATAGTACCACGTATTTCAGGAATGGACGAACGAAATTTCGAATAGAGATATAATTTTATTACACTCTTTTATTACATACGAAATGCATACAGTCTTTTAAGCCACACGGACGAAGACACGTTTGACACCTAGTAATATAATATTCTGTGTAGATCTTCTTGCTTGTCGACAGTCAAATGAATATTTTATGTGCACTTTGCGTATGTACTACGTACACAAATAGGGAAGTACAATTTGAAATCGTAAAGTGAATATCCTTTTATTTTCCTTTACATTTGACGCCTAAAACCTTCGTGCTAGAGATATATTTCAACATTATTGTGAAATTCGACTCAGTTAAAGTTATTGTGGTGAAGAAGTGCATAAACCATTTATGGTAAAAAATTTCTTCCGTTATAAATTATGGTCGAATTTCGACCAATAAGCGATCACTTGTGTATCTATTAAGTCGTAAATCTCATTTTTATGATAACGTACTTTAAATATTTTTATTTATATTCTGTCTTTACGGTTGAAATTATTATTAATGCATAGCATAAGAATAAACGCTTTTGCAGATAAAAAATGTAACTTATGCTTAACCTCGTGCAATATTAGATATTCAATGCAAGTAAAAAGATTTGTTAACATAAGTGACATTTTTAAGGAAAAACTGCTGAAAAAATTCTACAAGACAAAAATGCACAGGGTTGTACTCTGCTATTATTTAAAAAAATCGCAACATTCTTGTAACGTTTCGAGCAAAATTGCGAGCTGAATAATATTACATTTAAATTATATTATTAATAGTTAAAAGGTAATAAGGTAGTAATAAAAACAACTTAACATATTTTTTGGAAATTTTATTTATGTGGAGCATCGATACGCATTACACCTAATGGTTTATTGAGAGCTAATATTTAAATTGCCATTACATTCATTATTTATCTATATAATAAATCAATAGCAATAATGTAGGGTAACTATTTACAAAGCTTTTTTATGAAACAAGTATAAAAATACAAAAAAAAAACCAGTAGACATCGTATTTAGTAAAATAATTAGAATTACGTATTTAAGTTCATTGAAAACACAGACTGAGATTATAACAATTACTGCGGGTTTGGATTGATGACTGCACCGCGTTTATCTGTATAGCCATCCCTCATTTTCTCTTTGAGAAAACAAAGACAGCTATATAGGTCAATATAGTCGAATTCAATGTAATTATAACAAGTCTAAACAATGTTTTTTATAATCACAAGCTTATTAGAAAAAGACATATTTGTATCATCATTTTTATAATGAAACTTTTTAAATACCCATAGACAATAAATGATAATTTTCAGCCATTAAAATAAATATATATAATTTCTAATTTCCATCGAATTCGACTATGCAAGTGTTGGCAGTTAATTCCCACATTTACTTACTTATTGATTATAAACAGACAAATTATAGAAATAGGTAACTTATAAAATACAAACCCTACGCACTCAATTGTCATGGTAACCAACATCAAGGTACATTTTTTATAATATAAACGCTTGTTTATTCGAAAATATTTTAAATAACTTAATTATTCGATATCATAATGCAAGCTGCCAATTTTTAATGACATTTTGTATAAAAAGCTGGCATAATATTTATTATTATCTATTTCACATGTTCATTACTGGCTTCCTGTTACATTTTGTAATAATTATAGCTAAATACATCGACGACAATCACAAGAAATTAACGAAACGAAAAAAGTTTGATATACATTTTGACAAAACAAATGTAGTTTAAAACTCAAAAGGAGCCTTAAAAGCCTTCTAAGCCTTTTTTAAAGTCATCATAGAGTAGATTTAAATAAAACAAACATGCATCACATTTTAAAAGTATGACTAACATCACGTCACGCGAAACTAACCTAAAGCCAATCAAGCAAGGAATATACATGCACCAAGTACCAAAACAAGCATGGCATTACACTTTACTATTCTAAGCGTAAACTAAAAAGAATAACTAACTGGTATACTCACAGACCTTTAATGGTTACATGAGCAGTTCCCTTAGTGACCTTTAAAGGTCTCCCAGTATGGCTAATTGTCATGAAAAAAATAATAATAGGAGAATATAATATGTAAATAATTTGATGAGAAAAAAATGTAAAAAATAAAATAATTTTGTTCAATAATTAATTAATCAACACGAAAACACCTGTCCAATGTTAAGCATAGAACCCCATGACAGGCAGATATACCAGCATTCTATAGACATAATATCTATATATAAATATTCTAAGATAGAGAGATATGACTTAATAAGGTTTTAATGTGACTAATCTCTATTAATGTGAGATTCGTTAAGGGTCCCCCATTAAGTTTGTAACAAGTACTTGGAAAACTAACCGTTGGTTTCTGAGTCCAAAATGTCGGTATAAAACATATTATCATCCTTGTCATTATATTTGATAAAATGGAAATAACTAAATTTTAAGCGGGGATTTTCGTCTTAAAAACCCATAGCAAGTCTGTTCGTTCTTCTGTACTTACCAATTAAAGACTTTGAGTGAGACAGTAAAGCATTGGTTAAGTAAGCATTAAACTCTGCCTGTATTACTCCAAAAATACAGTTAGACACTATTTTGTTAAACACTTATTTTAACCCTTTGACCGCCGCTGATTGATATTATGGACGTCAACCAAAAAACACGGTATTAAAGACATATTTTAACCAATACGAAACGAATATATTTTTTACGCTATTCATGATTTCTAGTTATGGCTAATATCAGCGTACGATAAAAAGGTTAATACGATTAAGTTAAAATGTAATTGAAACACTGTAAAAGGTATTCATGGTTAGGACCTATGTGACAGATGTATTTAAAACATGGATAGTTTAAATACAGGGCCGTTTGACCTGCGGGTGCAAGGGGCGCCTGTGCACCAGCGAACGTAGTAGTTTTAAAGGCGCTAGACTGATTTTCGTAGGCGCTCAATGCGGTAAATACGGCCCTGTGTGAATGTGTTGTCGACTTAGTAGTAGGTGGCGTTGAAGTGCGTTGCAGCGCGACGCAGTACGTGCGGCTGTAGGCTCACGTAGGCACCATCAACCACGCGTACTATCCTAATGTTGATCTGTAACAACAAAATAATGTAACAATTTTATGATCAACGTAAAAACACGTTGTTGTAACAATTTCATATTCACCAGTAAATGAAAGTGATTTAGATAATAATATTAATTTAAAGTAATTTGATTCGTCTGTTAAAGGATAATTAAGTTATTGTTTTGGGTTAACTCATTAAAACATCAACTTCAAAACAACAACAAAACGACTACAAATAAATTTGCCAGTATATTATATATTATGTTATGACAAACTACTTAATATTCTTAAATGCGATGCTTTGCAAACATAACATGTTGTCACGACTGCAAGTTCACAAGGCATCGGAGTTTCCGAGACCTCGTTGACTTGTGCGATAACCGAACTTAGGGTTGGTTCACATTTAAAATAAAGAAGAACATATCATCGAAATTGTTTGGCAATAATTTTTCAAATAATTTGAAAAATCTCCTGCCTTTCTTTTATATTCTAATCACATAATCCTTATCTCAGTGCGTTATTGTTCGTTTAGTCAAACAAATACTGCCATTTACTTGAAAAAATAACGATTGATTTTCGCAGGCATTAATTTTACTTGTAGGTTAAATCATATGTTAACCGACCCTAGGTGAGTAGAGTAGAGACGGGGAGATTATGATTACTTTGAATATTTCATAACAACGTATCCACAGTGTGTGCCGGCCTAAAGACTAATAACCCCGTTGTAAATGATAAAGTAGTCATTACGTAGTACAACGTAATAAGGATTTTACATCGGAAATCCGCCAGTTAAGATATAAACGTGTTTATTGGGTTTTCATTGTCTTAAAAATAAACCGATTTGGCCGCCTTGACCAGTGCAATACCATGATCACACACAAGATAGGCTTGAATGGAATTAATTTCGCGTTGCGACTGATGAGTTAGCGCGTCTGAGGCCGTAATCTGACAGTTTGCTATACTACATTAATTTAACGCTTACGTCAATAAAAAGTTTTTGACCTATGTAATCGTAGTGGGTAAGAAAAATAGATCCTCGATTCTGCCTACCTCGTGTTTGGAGATTGTTCGCAAGAAGAACTTCTGGAATCTTGATGAGAGCGCCCACACGGCGCCATTATCGCGCTCCGCCCACCGCACCTCCGCGCAAAACTGCAGCTTCTCTGCATCTTGCGCCAACAACCTGTACAACACGAGATATATCATGTAACTTTATGTTAAACTAACTGTCAAACGCGACTTCCTCCGCACAGAATGTAGCCTATGTGTTCTTCCAGACAAGGTTCTATGTGTGTGCCAAATTTCATCAAGATCCGTTCTGTCTTTCGGGAGATTCATTCGCATTTATAATATTAGTAAGAAGTAAGATAAGATGTACATACAACACATACATAAAATAAGCAAAGAACAAATGAAAATCCAAATTATTGCAGATCATGGAATTATTAATGACATGAACTACAGATAGCCTCAATGTACAGAGTACGATTTTAGATAAGGAAACGCAAACGGTTATAACAAAAGATTAACATTTGACATACTGGAAGCCGCGGGTTTCTAACATTAACCTAAATTATTAGATCAATTTCGAGGGTCATATTACTCATTATTATTCTTCTAGACAGTATTATATAGTCAATTTTAAGTTAGTTGCTAGTATTAATATCAATTTTACCTGTGAGAATTAGTGATGGGATTCCAAGCAACGATCGCGGTTTCAGTCATCGGGCTGAATATGATGGTGTCGTCTCTCGGGTCGACGGTCACGCCAAGTCCCTGCGAAGACTTGCGGCCCACGAGGTTGACTGGCAGGTCTGCGCCTTCAGCTAGAGGACCCGCGGATAGCACCGCTGTTGATACGCTAAATAATCTGCAAAAAATAAAAATAACATTAAAAAGTCTAATTGTAGGACATTTGAACAGATTTTTGCGTTTTTTATGTATACTTCTACTCATCTCTATAAATTCTCTTAAATTTAGGTAATCAAAAATAAGGCAATTATATGTTGTACCTGTCTGTCCTTTATTTAATGTGACAATGAAATTAAACAAAAGTAATTAACATTGTTACGTATTATTATATTTTTTCCGGAACCAACAAGTCTCAATGTCGTTATAGGAATGCAGTTTCAATGTTAATTATGTCACTTCAATTGTTCTAAAATAAGGTATATTTTTATCACCTACTTTTATTCAGTTATCTGAAGGTTTTAAACGATGACTGTTGACCTAGTATTAATTTTCCTGTCCCCATTTTTATGGTAATGATGATGTGGTACGCACCGCAAAATGTGTAGAAATTATCATATCATGTAATTTCCCTGTCCCTGGTTCAATTTATTTATCACATCTTTGTAATATCACTCACTATTTACACAGAAGTTCCTCTCCACTATTCTATGTATATAATATCTTATCAATATTATAAATACGAATGTTTGGATGGATGTTTGTTACTAGGAATCTCTACAACGGAGAAATGTACGTCGATAAATTTTGGTATAGAATACATTTTGGAAGAACATTTAGATTACCTATTCCAGGAAATGTATACGGTTCCCATTGGATATGTTTGATTTACACGTTGATAACTTTGCAACGGTTTTACATATCTTATTGAATATTGGCACAGGTATGTAACACGTGTATGCAACACGTCTTTGTCAATAAGCTTGTTGTGTTTGAAAAAGAATAAGTAATGTTAAAATACAATTAATATGACAATAGAATTTAATGATTAAACTGTTCCTTGTTCCTCACCTATCGGTAGCAAGCGGTTGGTAGTACAAAAGTCCCTGTGCGGGGGAATGCGCCAGACCCACCACACCGTCCATGAGGGTGAACTTCTCGCCGGTGATGTCAATCTCGCCGAGGTTAGGATCGGGATACATTGACGCGTGGGTCACTCTCCATGCGTTGTCGCGACGGCTGTCGTACACGATGATGCCTGTGGGTAAACATAACAATAAATTCAAGTTCCAAATAATTTTAGACCTATGAATATGTTTGATTAGATTATATTTCTCTCGCGTCGTTTGTTTAAAAATGCTGCCGATTCTCTCCTAGAAAATTGAGGCAAGAAAATATTTCCAGTCGTAGTAAACAGTTCTAAAATTGAATGAAAACCTCTTTGTTACGAAATACACCACGATCTTGTTACACAATAAAACATTTCTCGGAATCTCTGGTTAATTTAATTGGTCTACAACCGCTTACGTCATATGAAGAAAGTTTAACTGTGAACAGCCTCTCACGCACTACAATCAACTTACCCGTGAAAATAATTCGTGTCAAGAACGTACCAATTATTTTAGAGGCCGTCACATAGCTAAGGCTTTCCAACTATTATATGAATACCACAATAAATACATAACGCAGTAAGAAATATGTAAAGAAGTTGAAGGTAATGTGTTTATATGGTTATATATGATAAAGAGAACATTCTTTGAATTTACAATGACGTACTTTATGTACTGGTATTACTTATTTCTATAGAAAAATAGAAATAATAATTGAAAGTTCTATTTTGCATTACACATATCGAATAGAAAAGAAGGCGAATAAAATTTATTATACATTTAGCAGTCGCCCGCCGACTCTTATCGTCATTAAAAAAAACAAAGAGTGCCTAAAAGTTCTTCCAGAATATCAATTCCAGACAATTTTTATCAAGATCCGTTAAGCCTTTCCGGAGATAACTTCAAACAAACATCCATCCATCCATCCATCTAAACATTTGCATTTATAATATTCGTATGTAGTATAAAGTATGATAAGTACACAAATTATCAGTGTATTGGAATTTAACTTGAAAAATATGTCACGCCAAGCTGGATATGTGATTATAATTTTTATTTGGATGAACGCGATTAACGAGCAGGCCAGTTGTTAATTCATAGTATAATTGATAATTCTATAAGTGATAAATAAAATTAACCGCTATGTCAACGCAGAACACCAATAATAATTATGCGTGTATAACGCTGCGCTTTGTAGGCCGACAATTGAATGATATAATCAACTTATGTACCAGTACCACTAATATTCTATTGTTGTCTTCAGTGTAATAGCTTCCCACGAGAATAAACTTTTTAATTTATTTCACTTTTCCATTAAAGAGTATATAGGATACTTTCGACATGAGTCATAAATAGACTTAGACTTTATTCAACGAAAAATGCGTTGAAAAAACCCAAATAAGCCATATCAAGATCTTACTCTCCGTATATCCTATCCTATCGTGGCTACATAATTTCAAAATAAAAATCATTATTGTATATTGTCACACTGTCAGTTCAAAATATCATACAGAACCAGAATCGGAATCATCATGTTGAGAGCCTCGTCCTGTTGGAAGTCGAAATTGGTGAAATCCCAACACAACATTGTTATCTCTCTGCGACAAATTGATTGTGATAACACGGAGCAAGTAAACGCGTAGTTCCAAACAGTCATAATATGTTGTACTTAATATTGTATAACTTCAAAAAGAAATAACAGAATAAAAAATAAATTATTACTAATAAAGCAGCGAGTACCACTTTTTGCATATAATCTACAATTTATGTTGATTCGTAATTTATGCAATTTTTTTAACCGCATAAAAGAGTTGTTTTGTTCAATGGAGCGGAGTCGGGTCGGTTTTTACGACTTTTTCGTTTTTACGATTAAACGTTGCGTAGTTAATTAACTAATTAAACAGGACACGTCTCTATCAAGAGAAAGAAATAGTTAATTTGTGTACGTATTGTGGAAACAAAGATCCTTGATACGCAGTTCTACGTGTACTCAACTCAACAAGAAACCACGAGGATCTACTAAGTTGAATAATACCGGTGTTGCCAATTATGAAAATATCATGACTTTAAAAAGTAAAAAGTAGAAGTATCGTAATGACAGTTACGAAATATTCATAAAAAAAATCTTATATGTTTTTACAGTTAATTAATTGTATAGTTGGCAAATATATTACATATTAGCTGTCGCCCGTGACACTGGTGCGCGGAATTAAAAAAGAAACATAAATAGCCTATGTGTTCTTCCAGACTATTTTCTAAATGTATGCCAAATTTCACAGACATCCGTTCAGCGGTTCTGGAGATATGTGCGTGATATAATATGTACCTTCAAATAAACATCCATCTAAACATTCGCATTTGTAATATAAGTATGATATAAATGAAATATAGGAGAAAAACTAATTTGCTTTGTTGTAAATTAAAATTTTGTAAACATACAATTACAATATAAGTAAATACACTTTTTCATGTAGTAAAATCATTCCGCGGTTTCGTAAAGTTGTATTGCGGTTACAGGTATTCCAAATATGGCAACCACTACTCAAATAAGAAACAAATATGTACATAACAAAATAGGTGAGTCATTCAACAACTTCATTCTAATTTTACTCTATAATGAGTAAGTTATTTTTTTCTGAAATAGACCACAGAGTAAACGCTGAGAAATACCACTAGAAACATTTCGTTCTGTAATTCAGATGAAAGAAGCTAAAAATTACTCTAAAAAAAGTTTCCAAATAATCTACGTAGGGAAACAAATTAATAACCATAACCTATTGGATTTGGTTGTAGGAATTTCTTCCAATGTCTAAACAAATCAACATTTCAAACAGAGGTTTTAGAAGGAAGTATTAATAAAACGAAAAATTATTGATGCCCAAATATCAAGCTACGACCTCAATGTCGAACTGTATTGCATAAACGTTAAAACATTTGTATCAAGTTTCGATCGATGCGATTAAAAAGTTGAAAAGCGAAACGCACCACTGCGTCGCAAATTACGATGTCAGAATATATTAAGTGGTACATATTATACTAACAACGTAACTCATACAACCTACTTATCAGAAAACTGCTCAGAACACATAATTGTTGTGTACTTATCGGAAATAAAGACATTTCCGACTACTCAACGGCTAGTTAATTAACTTTTCTCGTAACGATAATGATTAACAGTTCGCGAGCAATTAACATTAGCGATGACAGGTAAAATGTTGGCGACTCATGCTACGTAGGAACTCTATGATATCGTTAAGAAATCGTTAAAAGACTAAAATCGCCGGGTTTCGCCAATACCAGTCGCTCGCCACCTGTTTTGAAGTTCGCTATAGAATCACTTCGAAGCGAATATACATTTTGTTCGACCCCTTTGACTGAATAGAGGACTCACGCCGACGTTTCAACTTGGAGTGCACGACGCACGCGTAATGCGACATTCGCGACGCAAGGATATAATATTAGTTTCGAAGATTTACGTTGCCTTATGCAGGTACGTAGGGGCGTAGACATCATATTAGGAAATGTTGGCTTGTATATGCATCGAGACGTGTTAGGTGAGCTATAATTGACAACACGTTTGATAAACTGGTATAAAATATTCAAGCAATGAGTATGTGTCGCAAATCATTAAGTACTTACTTTTGTAAAACGATTTTTGTCACATAAATTTATCTATATCGTTAGTTCGAATCTGATAATAATTTTAAGCGTTTAAAAATGCACTTCAAAACCGTAAGAGATTTTAACTACGACGGTACTAATAAAAATGATTAAAATATAACTATGCGAATAATAACAATTTAGAGTTTCGTAAATTATAATTATTTTAGATAACTTTTCCACAATATTACATCGCATTTAACAATTACACCCCGAGAGTTTCACGCAAGAATATTGCGGCGCCCTTACAAGGTTCGCGGTAATAATCTAATTGGCTATTTACGCCACGAGTAATAATATAAAAATCAATAACGTCTTATCAATATATGAAAACCTGTATAGTAAAATATTAGCAATTTTTACAAAAAGTTCAAACTGAAATGTCTAAAGTAATTAGTGTTACAACCAAGTTTTTCAGTAACTTTTTACTATATCTGGGGATACAAAAAAGATTTCTAGATGCATGAATGTGGAAGAGGTACCATAGGTCCTCAATCTCTGCATAAACCTTGGGTTAAGGGCGTGAGTTGTGTCGACGTATTTAGCATTGCTTGATTCATTGCCTCCAGACGTAAAAATCTATTTGCAATGGTAATAGAATTCATGTTGTACTATTTTATAGAATGTAAAGTGCTTATTTATACGGTGATATGTTAAAGAACTAGAACATTAAAGCTTAATGATCCAAACATTAGGAACGTCCACATCGCACGGCATCAGGACGTTATTGCGACGGACATGCTTCTAAGTTTTACAACATTCTATTCAATGAGGCAACGATACATTAACTAAACATTTGCATGTTAGCATAAAGGTGCTAATTTTTCTTATATAAAACTGTCAAATATCTCATTTATTTCTTAAAAAATATATTTTACCACGTAACAGGTTCCTTCTCATTGTAAAATAATGAACAATAAATAATTTTCCTGACAATATACGATTAAAAATCATTGATATTCTGTGGTACAGAAAAATAAGTGTCTATCAATTGACATTTTCTTCTAAACAAGAACATGAATAAATAAAAACAGGAACTTTGCATGCATTGTGAGCAAGTGAGCCTATCTTTAGATGTTTGAACGGACTTTCAATGCACATTTTGTGAACCCCCACATAACTAAAGATTCACGGGTCTTTAGAAGGATAAGCTTTTTTGTACCTCCGAGAAGGGCACCTGCTGCTATCGATAGCGCAGCAACCTTGATTAATTAAAATAATTATGGTACATATGTGTGTGAAATAACCTGGGGTGACAGTGTCACTGATGTAGGCGAAGATATGGTCGCAGGTGGCGGCGAGATGTGGGTTGGGAGCGCGCGTGTCGTCTAGCACTAGGTTGGTGAGCAGAGAGCTCGGCCGCAGCAGCTCGCGCGGGAAGTACACGCTGCGCACCTGGAAACAATCACAAGCATACCTTATTCTGTGTGTCTTAAGTTAAATACAAAATCTCGTTTTACTATGTAGGCCGGGCTAAACTCCGAAACTATTACACGGATCTTAAAGAAATTTCTAAACTGTGTTATTTGATTCGAGTAAAAAAATAACCATAATTTTATTATTGTCAACTTTGACAGTTTAGGTAAACTTATTAATTTACTTTACATATATTTTTTATCGTATTTAAATATATTAAAAGACGTCTTCAAACAAATATCCGAACGGCCGTCAACCGCCATGCTACAGTTCGGCGGCAGTTTCATTGACGGTAATGGCGTATTGAGACCGAACATTGCAAAAGCGTACCGCACCCTTTCCAATGTTATAATGACCTCGGCCGTTTTAGTTGCCATAGAAGTTATAAGCGATACGAATCAATACACTTACATCCGCATACAATGTTATTTAATAATACATAATTAAATGTTAATTAACTTTGTTCTTACCAACGCACATATGTGGCACGTGTCATGTGCGACTCAATTATGTTACTTCTCTTTTATTGATATCCTACTTATGTCATTTTATTGTTATGTTATATTCTTGCTATGACGTAACAATTACATTATATATAATAATTGATATTTTGTTACCTCTTGCCCCTCAACTTATTTACTTTAACCCAGTAAATTATGTCAATTCACCGGAATTGAAATATGTATCTTACATATTCTTGTTGGTGACCTCTACCGGCCTTGGATAGACTTGCATTCCACCGATATAAAATACGACAGTTAAAGTGTTTAGTTGTATAACTTGTCCGTTAAATAACTTTACAACAGCCTTATAATTACAGATTAAAGCTTTCTTCGGTTTTTACAGCTCTCGGAAACAGGTTAAAAAGTCGCGCGCAAACGCAAAAAGCAAGAATTCCAATGTCTTTCCTTATCCGTAATTGTAATACCGGGACTAACTGTTTTATTCACATTCCAATTTACCAACTAGAGGTAATAAAAAATGAGAAACAAAATTCGAATAATCTTTATTTACTATTTATGACTTAATCGAATTACTACGGAAAGCTTTTGATTATGAGAAATTCTATATGAATGGTCACTATTTCAAGCACGAATGGTAATTATGTCAGTTTACGATTACGTGAACGTTCCAAGAAATCAAAAAAGCGGATCTGGATATTAATCAAGATCCGCTTTTATGATTTCTCGGAAATCGTAATGTAGAGCAACATTTGTATTAGTTATCATTATGGCTCACTTAAGGTTGAAAACTAATTGTAGTGTTTCTTTTAGCAGAGATTATTAAATTATTTGCAACAAAAAAAAAATACACAACAATAATATTTACAACTATTTCTCTATTAAAAAAAAAGCTTAACGTAAGCCTTCAAATTATGTCTGGCATCGAACGATCTTGATGAGAAAAAAAAATACATAATATTTAGACTCCTATAATCTGATACCTGTTATTTAAATTTCTTGTCCAACTTCCGAAGCCCAACAGGGAGTATAGGGTTGCTACACTTAAGAAATCCTGTTCATATGTTGCGTAAGCAGTCCATACTTGTATTGAAATCCAACGGACTCATTGTTACCGAATATGCCAGTATTTATTGCTTTATACGTTCAGTATTGAAGTGTTATAAAAAACGTATTACCACATGTCATGTTTATTTACTTTTTTGTAAGAAATCATTTAGATTTTGCTTTGAAAACTCGTTATCCTAGAAATTTAAATCTTTTAAAGTCTTGCTAATTTCCTTTGAATAACTGATTTGTACATAAGCGTCATGTATTTAAGAACCAATGCCTACAGAGTAGAAATATACTTTGCAGTACATACATAATATTTTTGGCTCGTGAGTAACGAGTGTTTGATTGCATATTTCCTATATTGTTATGATTAAAAGCGCTTTATTGCCTTAAAAGTCAATTACAAATGTAATCGTTAGACTTAGCAATTATCTTTTTCATTATCTGTATATGGACATACATTGTGCAGAAATACGTATGTAAGACAATTGAAAGTAATTCTAAATAAAGTACAGGTCCTGGTAGAACGTCTGTAAGAATAACAATTTTAATATCACTAGTAAAATTTCAAATATGTTTAAACAATTCATTAAACTAAAAAAATATAGTTAAATTTCTAACGTGTTTTTGTGAAATAAATTTATTCTTATTCTTTATTCTTATTTTTAATTATAAAATTCGCTTTACGAAATCAACTGTGGCTTAACGTTTCACATTCAAAATTCATACAATCCTATTGCGTAGAATTTTTTTTTGTTGGCATGTCCGATAAGAACAAAAATCCCCAAAAAAAAAAGATTCAAAAAAAGAATATTGTTTTTGATAGTTAACCTGACTGCTTTGATAAATCCAATGCTATGGACGTTAATCACAACATGCACCAGGTCCTCCTTTCACTTATTAAATAAACAAGCAAGATGTCAACACCAATAAATACATACTTTTAAACATTTAAAAGCTGGATCCGAGTTACGTTGCATTACCAATAAAATAATCTACCTATGTAAATAAAATAAAAACTCTTTGGTTATTATAGATTTTTGTTTTAATTGTGTATTACACACTGGCTTACATACGATGATAAAATTAAAAACAATGACTATTATTATTTGTATATGCAGATTATAGATAAAATAACTAAGGTGAGAGCGGTTTTGATTGTGGAACCACATTTTTCTCGCTTAATTTAATGTAGAGCCCAATTCTCACAGATATAAGCCGACCTCTGACACAATGATAACCTTCTGTTTTTCGAATTGTTTATTCTCAAAAAAGTAATTGGCATTTTATCGCCGGCCCAAGGGGACAAGATTGAGTGGCGCCAAGTAATGACTAGAATGTGAAAAAAATAATATTTATTATATTTGTATATAATATTTATTTTTTTCTCATTTATTTAAAAAGCTTTTATAGCTTGATTACTTGAAAGCAAGGACTGGTTTACTTATCTGACTTTGTTTGCACATTTTCTAATTAAGTATTAAGTTACGGAGATTATATATCTAACATATAATAAAAGAAAGCTTAGTAAAACGAGCTTTTTTCTAATATAATTTAACTGTCGCCCTCGACTCCGGCGGTGCGGAATGAAAAAAAACTTAGTAGTCTATGGGTTCTTCCAGACTGTGTTCTACATCTATGCCAAATTTCAGCGCGATCCATACAGCTGGAGATACCTTCAAACAAACATTCCTCCATCCATCTAACCACTCGCATTTATAATATTAGTAAGATAATAAATAAATGAAGTGTAAAACCAATATAATTTAAAATAGCTAACGAAAAATGTCATGTATAGCTACAAGCAATAAAGCAAAGTGACAGCTGAAGTTAACGATTATGTATCGAGTTATCAGTAATCGAATCAATAATAACGTCTAACGCAACCGTTTACAGCGAGTTAAAGCAACGCCCTAAGTAACAAATGTTTGTAATAAATTGATCAATGGTATGTCTTTAAGTCGTGTTGTCAATTTCGTAAAACTTTTTTTTACATGAACTTGTACATAAAGTTAACTAGACGTAATAAAATTGACCTGAATTCCAATATTCCCCGTCACCTATAACTACTACAGTATTACGAAATATATAAAAATGTATTTCAATATAAATTGGTATATTATGTTTTTGGTAATCCTTCCCCTCATTACTTGTTATAAAGAATACTTTACTTGAACTTTAGTTGTGTAAAGCTTATTATAAACTTAATTACGTTATATTATTATGTATTATGATATTATTATGTAAAAAACAACATGTTTACAAATTCAACATTGTCCAACAACAACAACAAAACACCCAGAAATTATTTATTAAACTAGCTGTCGCCCGCGACTTCGTCCGCGCGGGATTATAAAATAGATAGTAGCCGATTCTCAGACCTACTCAATATGCTCACAAAATTTTATGAGAATCGGTCAAGCCGTTTCGGAGGAGTATGGGAACGAAAATTGTGATACGAGAATTTTATATATAACATTAATATTTCAAAAACTACGATACCTTCTTAGTCTTACTACGAAATAAAATCGCTTTCGATAACATTCGTTCTTCATATAATTCAAATTAAGGAAAGAAAACAACATATGTCACGCCTGTTATCTAGAGGGGTAGGCAGAAACCACAGACTTCAATTTACCGCGGTCTTTCCTTTCAATCACCCTTTCAACGCTTCATTACAGAAAGAATATTAAATAAATTCCTGCTTGATACCTTCACGCGTGCCTGAGAAAAAGGTTCTTGACTGACAGACGAACGGACAACTAAGTGATCCTATAAGGGTTTCAATTTTTCCCTTTCGAGGTACGGAACCCTAAAAAATTCTCATGTCTGATTTAAAACGGAATATTAGCGATGTATTAAGTCGATTATACCAATTTAAATGACAGATTTAAATTGCCGTACGAAGTATATTGCACTTGATCTCGTTACAAGTAAACAATTTATACGTCTAACCTTCAAATTAATAGTAATAACTATCAATCAGTAAAGAGTACCGTGATAATTGAGTTCGGCTACTAAAAGTCTTACAAAAGACTTATTTTATATGAGACTAGCTGTCGCCCGCGAATCCGTCCGCGTGGAATGAAAAAAAAAACTTTATTAGATCCCGGCAATTAATCAGAATTTTCTCACCTTTTAAACCTGTCCTAGACCTCCACGAACATTTCAAGACCAAGATAAGATAAATCCGTTCAGTCGTTCTCGACTTTTAGAGAGACTAACGAACAGAAATTGATTTTTATATATAGACACAATTATAATATTAATATCCAATTATCATTATCATCAAATGTTACTTTATCATTTGTTCTTAAATTTCAAATTGATTTGTCTGCCTTAGAGATCCAACTATGGAAACATTATACCGGATTATATTGCCATCCCTTTCATTATATTTTTGAAAAACAAAGATAAAAATATGTTTAATAACAATGCAATGAAACGATCAACTTTCACCTTACTACAAGGCTAATCAAGTGTTACGAATAAGTTATAAATATATTCTACACCTAAAAGCTTATCTAATAATCTAAATCTAAGTTACAAGGTCATAAAATTTTTAATTGTATTTTAATTCGATGAAAGGAATTTAATGTACAATTGTCACGGAAGCTAGATCAAATCTAGGCGGTGACCCTGAATTTGAACTTGAACTGAAATTAAAAAAAAAACTACCGACTAATAATACGCGGTTAGTTATACATTCGAAAAATATTTTGTAATTTATTGTTAAATAATAATTAAATTCTTTCCTTGAGTCCAAGAACTTACATAACTTTAAAAAAAAATGCAAAAAATACTTTAAATATTTATTTAAAAAATGTTGACCATTTCATTTCTCAATGAAATTTCTTCGATCTGTACGAAAAATTTGCACGTTGACATTTCAATGAACATGTAAATGATAAATGTATAATCAAATAAAACTTGCCGTTTATTTCCATGACCGACATAGACCTCAACAAATCGCCCGCGGCTACGTGCATTAAGAAAACAATGTAAGCTTATAAATCTGTCTCACTTTAGTATAATTTAATCTTGTTCAGACATTCGCATATTTTAACTTGACTTTGAGATAACCTAAAAAATCTTCACTCGATATTGTGGTCATAAATAATAAAAACGTTTTTACAAAATTTCCATCTTACTTCTTACTTAATAATAAAATGCGAAAGTTTAGATTGATGTATGGATGGATTATTCTTTATAGGTGACTCAAAAAAGAGTTTACATCTGGATGAAATTTTGCATAGACATAGATTTTGGTAAGGAATAATGGATAGGCTTGCTTACTACCAAGTTTTTTTTTAATTCCTCGCGTACGCAATCGTCGGTAAAAACTAATTTACCAATGAATTTTAGTTCAATATTGTCTTTCAATTTAAGTGTAACAACTTGAAATAATATTAAACCTGAAACAACTTGAAGTTAATTAACCTCATGTTTTGCAATTAACCTACAAACTGTAATATTCGCAAACATGTTTTGCAAGTGAAGATGATATTAACCTTATAACGTTATTATATTACCTTCGTAATATAATTCCCGTCGTCTGCACAACGTCGGAAAGATTCGAGTGGACAGATAAATTTAATTTTAAAATTTAAAACATTTATATAATAACTTCTTATTAATTCAACCATTGGACCTGGTATTTAATCATATGTAACTATTGGATATTGTTTAATTTATAAAAACAATATTTCATTGTTCGTCACAAATTCGCAAAGTTATCCACCATTAAATCGTAGCGATATTAATATAATTAAACATAAAGAGCTAGCTTACACACTTACGATAGCAAAGAAATTACTGAATAAATGGCATATAATAAAAATAAAGAAGAAAACAAGATAATACAGTAAACAACACAAGGAAGTAATGATAAACTTACCAGACGATCAGTAGCCATATCGAAAATGAGTATCTTAGGCGGGCAGACACGACGGAAATCATCAAGACTGGTGAATACGCCGGAGTCAAGAACCCAGAGGCGGTTGCAGCGGTCGGCGCGCGTGCGGTACACGGACACCAGGCCAGTACAGTTGATGTCACCACGACCAGCAGTGTGCCATGACCAGTCCGGATACGCCTGACAAAATATAAGACATGTTACAACTACGAAAATTAAGTTACTACTAGTTTTTCAATATTAATTTACAATTGAAGCAATCAATCTGTATTTTTCTGAGAATATTGGACGATTTTGGCATCTTTAAAGGTATTATGGAGGAAATACGGATAAGCCAAGCTTAAACGCAGCGATCTATTAAGGTATTCCGAAAAAAGAAATGAATCGAATGGTATCATACTTTACGCTTAAACTTTGACCCGTTAAAGATCAACAATAACATGTTTTGTAAAAGACACAAAGACGAAAACATTTGAAAAAATTTGTAAAACACCTTTTCCTTAAAACATATTTATTTCTGATTTATTTCTTGCACATCCATTTGTAAATCGGTTGTGTAGGTATGCGCATTGTTGGAATATAAATCTATTCTATCTTAATCTGTTCTCCTTTTCGATGGCTACTTTAAAATTCCTGTAGCTTTTTTATTTACTTATTCAAGCGATGTCTTTTGTCGAATCCGTCAATCTGTCGCGAAGACAAAGGGCTCAATGGGAGGAATTTAAATTATTTATTTATAAGCCTTGTGAATTCAGGTAAACTTAGTATTCGTTTATCAACTTGAAACCTTACTTTGGTTTGCAGAACACAAATACGAGTATCTGATTATCCCTTATGAATAAAATTTCCTTTTTTAATGAATCAGGGACGAAAGGAATTATTTTTGAGGCAAGCTTGGACACTGAATAGTAAGGGTCTGTTATAACTCGATGATATTAATGACAAACTTATTATTATGAAAAAATTATAAGCTTGTTTTTAAATGAAACATATCCGTCGTGAAACGTATAACGTAAGAACGGTTTAGTTTTTTCTCTGAGAATGAGGTTATTAGGTATTTAATATAATACATTACAAATATTAGCTTTCCCAGTAACAATAGCTTTTTAATTATTGATTACCTCAGTAATTGCTAATTATCTTTTTCTTTATATACTATTATTTTTACGAGTGTAATGAAGTATATTATGAATTTGATGATCTGTGTGGAAATATGTGCTTCAAAGTGAATCATTATTAATGGTTTATTTTAAAATTGACAAACTACGTTCTAACTGGCAAACAACACGGTGGTCTTGAACACGAATTAGAACAAACCCTTTACTTTAAACTAGTTCCATGAATAACCGCAACCAGTTTTCAAACAACTACTGTTTAAATGCCTCAAAACCGCCATTTGGCTTTAAATTTCATAACATCATATATTTTATTTTAATACGATTGAAAAAAATAAACTCTTCATCACGCGCGTGACGTTGAAAATTCAAGTTTTTCATTTTGTAGCATGTAGTCTAGTGGTTAAGAATATGTATTACCTAACATGAGGTCTTAAGTTTGAAACTGCCATGCAACTATTATTGTAAACAATATTTCATCATGGGCTATTAGGTTCAAAGAAATGGGTACAAAAAATATTAGTAATTGTTTTAAAAAAATATTCTAGGTGGCACACTGAAGTAATATTTACGCTTACAGTAAATGATACTTTGCTAAAATCAAGTGAGTGTTGTGAAATAAAGTGCGTAAGTAACACCCAAGTGACAATATCTTGTACCGATTACACGATATGGACGCACGTTTTTTCTGTCAACGGCCTAAGAGTACGTCTCGTCAAGGCCAGCTGTTCTTAGGTTTGTAACGCAGTACAAAAGCATAGCATATTGCCAAGGAAGCGAAGCGCAACCTAAGCTAACTACTAACTTAAAAGGACTTTTTCGTTCCGTTAAATCGTTTAACAGATGGGCTTACATATGTACATTCTCACATAAGACTACATTTTCGTTACGTTATCGCACAGTTTTCATTCACTGCGCTAAAAGCGCTTTTATGTTTAAGGTTGTGTGGTGCAGCCCTTAGTTCGTATATCGTAGCCGTCCTTCACAATTACTCGTGACTGTTCAAACAATTCTATTACCAATGTGCACAATATGGAGCACAAAAAATAATAAAATAAATTTTATTTAATAATTTTCTAGCTTTCTTCTATACAAGACTGGCGACACGACAAAGTTTTGCATAAGTTGAACCGAACCAATCTTAATATTTTTATTCACGGACAGAGATAGCTTGTGGTATAGAAAATATGACAAATTTTCCCAACTGTAATTGTATAAATACTTGTTTATTTGATTAGTTACTAAGGCATACATACAGGCAAACAGTTCAAAAATTGGCATTCATTATCAGCAACGCAAATGCATTATGTGTAAGAAATATGACATTTTTTTTCGATGTTACACACAGACACTCCAATTTTATTAATATGTATAGATACGATGCGCAGTTAGATTATCTAATGGACTGAATAAATATACAAATTGTGTAACGGATTTGTTTGACACTTTCACCAATCCACTTCGGTGTTACCGACTAGATAACTAAATAACCATATATACATTTTATAATTTATTATTTTATCGCATTAATTCGCACGAAATCTAAACTTTCTATTACTGCAAATTAAAATAATTATATTTTCGTAACACGTTAATAAATTCAAAGTCATAGAATATGAATATTAGCGATCTAAAGCTTTAAAATAATCAATATCTATTTTCGGGTGGAAAAGAGTAATTTAAAATTTAATTATTCTAGCAAGGAGTCGAAATGGAAATGTTGTTTTGTAATACGACTAGGATAGACTTATCGTTGTTTGCCTGTACAGTTAGATCTATATCTTTATTATTCACTAGGATTTTATCATTAATCTGTTAACGTACGTTAATTTCGACAGTATTCCGCAAAAATTTCGGCAACATCCTTGTGCATGTTAATTTAATAAAAATGCAATATTTAATTAAGTTACAGTATTTTCTAAGTTTAATTGTTTTATTACAGTCAGTAATAAACATTTTATTTGCATTTATAGTACATATTGAGACATAATACGTTAGCTTAATTCTGTTTTATAGCCTTCTTATATATTTGAAAGAATATACGTTTATATTTCATTCGGTTGTTATTTAAATAAATAAAATCGACGTGTGTGGTCCCTACAGACATCAAAACATGTACGATCGATTTAATTAAGAATGTTTATTTTACACTAGCAGATGTTTGCGATTAAATGGACTATTCTGTAATTTGAAATGAGAAACAAATTTTTAAATACCTGTAAAACGGGACTAACACCTGGCGGTAGGCTACGTGGCACCCAGGCTAGAGTAGCCGGCACGCCAGCCCGTAGCCTCGGTATTCCAATATAGAGCCGGTCCCAGCCGATTTCCAGGCCTGTCGGGACTGTGTTCTCAGGCTGGAATTTCTCCAGCAGCACGGGGTCCGGTGGGAAGTCGAACTGGAGGTGATTCCATTGGTTGACCACTTCCAGTGAACCGCTCGCAGCTGCCACCCACACGCTTAGCAACAATATTCTCGACGCCATGACTTGTATCTGTGCAAGAAACATATTTTTAATTGATGTTAGCATACATTTAGCATAAAATGTACACTCATAGTTCAAAACAATTAAGAAAATCTAGATTTAAATCTATAAATGATAAAAGAAAAGCGATTGCTTACCTTCTTTAAAAGTAATTATTATAACCTTGCTATTATCCATACCTTTCAATTACCCTTTTTTTTTTAAAAACGGAAACTAGTCCTTTTTTCCAAGGTCTAGATTAATTTAAATAAAATTTAGCGTGACTTTTAAGTGCAATTTAACTTTTGTCTCCATCGCGATACACAAAAAAATGATGTGACAATGACCTCTTACAGTTATCACGACCAAGGTTACTTTACAAGTCAAGGACAGAATGCAAGACATTATTTTTTAATCTCAAACATGAAATACAAAAAAAATCTTAATAAAGTATAATAATTATTTTGTCTCTAAGTGTTGTTTTTTTTATTATATCGATTGCCGCAATAAAAAAATCACATATGTAATTACAATATTTTGTTTTAGTTACGGTTATTAAAAACAAGCAAAGAAATAATACTTAAATTTTATTCAATTATTATTTTTTCAACGTTAAAATTATTTACGTAATTGTAAAATATTTAATAATACTAATCCTGCTAATTATGCGTTTTCATCGTCAATATTATTTTCAATTTTATTAAATAATGATAAAAATTTTACCGCCCGCTCACGTCTCATCTCTCCGCGTGTCCCCTTGTTTCTACAACGAGCAACACAGTTTAACGGTTTGTCTTGTCAGATTATTTCTCAACAATTCTTTTTTGTACACTGTACAATCAAACACGCTGCTGTGACTTCATTGAAATCAAGTTTGTTGTTATTGTATGAAAGAAATTGTTCCATGTACGGGATTGATATAAATATTTTCCGATTAAAAATGTTTAATGTAAATATTGTTTATCAATATCAAAACAATATCACATCAAAGATTATTTCTTTAACTTATTTATTTTATGATCAGTTTAATTTCTGTACAGGTTAATATAAAATGTTTCTGCAAACGGTACAAATGTAATTCAAATGTCACCTGCGGTTGACAGATATGTCTACTTTATCCGACATCACGCTGATATAAATTTCCTTACCATATCGTTTGAAATTTGATTTCATAATAATAATACTTTGTATTGTCCTGTCTTTGTAATAAAATATTATTGCTTACTTTAAATAAATTGTCAAATTATGCCAAATTATAATTTTGTCTGTTACGTTTCTGTTTCTAAACAAGTGACAAATAAATTGACATCAGTAGATTAATGACGTCACGTCAGAATACCTTCCTATTATAGTGTCGGTAAAGTGTTTTCTTACGCTCTTTAGTACATCCATCACCCTAAAAGCTTTAAAAGACAGTGTTTTTGTTGGTAAGTTCTCACATCTTTTACTTCTTCCTCTTTGCTTTGTTCTTAATAGGTATTTTATAAACCCTTTAAGTTTGTTATTCTGCATGTTGAAGTGATTGTTATAATTTTCTTAACTACAGGATTGTGACGTAAGTCAAGAATAAATAAAAAAAAATTACAATGCTCATTAAACGGTTGTTTATTGCATATACAATAATTGTTATTATTTAAGTTTAATATTTAATCTAAGTCATAGTAACAGATAGACAACTGACTATAGGCTATACGGAATGTGGGCACGACTACACAAGGACAGCGCAGCGCAATCACTGATTATGGGAAGTGAAATAACACACGTACTTAAATAACCGTATATAATCAATTTGTTGTATTATAATAGCTTTTTTACTTATATTAGAATGTGCAAATTTAATAGAAGGTTAAATAAAAACTGTGCGAATCCGAAAAACTGTGCGGTTGTTATTTATGGATAATAAAAATAAAATAAAATAGCCTTTTATTCAGATCTGCTTACAATTTACAATAAAATAACAAATAGAAATTAAGTTTGCAAGTAAGGAGATAGAAGTTTTAAAAGTTGAAATATAAATATTAATAAATAAGTAAAAATAAGATTAGACGTTAAATGTTACACTTCCAGTATACTTTTTTTTAGTAAATAATAATAATAAAAAAAAGTTATTTATGGATATTAAGCACAAAAAAATATATTATACAGTGCAACCTCAATATAACGTACCTCGATATAACGACTTCCTCGATTTAACAAATTTTTCGTAATCCCCTTGAATTGTCCATAAGAGTCAATATAAAATATACCTCTACATTGCGAACATTTTTTGCGAACAACCTCTTTATAACGAATTTTCAACCATCGAGAAAAAGTATAAATACCTCTATTTAACGAATTTTGTCAACCCAAAACCTCTATATAAAGTTGCAATGTCACTAATGTATGACTTTTAATCTCATAATATGTGATTCATGTTGCGACATGTTTCGAAGACCATTGCAAACTGCTTCAAGAAGAGTGGGTTTAAAGTAACATGCAAAGATGAGGAGGACGATTTATCACTCGCAGAACTTGCTAGGACCTGGCAAAGAGTTCAAGAAGAATCGCACCTTCAAGAGACTGAGTTCGAAGACCTTTGATAATGATTTAGCCGTTTGTGGAGAACTAACTGATGCTGACATCGTCACATCTGTGTTGCCGGTTACTAATGCAGAAGTGGATGAAGACGAGGAAGAAGGGGGCGAAATTGATGAGCATAACTTCACAATAAAAGATGCTTACAATGCTTTAAATATAATAAAATCGGTGTTTCTCAAAAAGGGAGGTTTGAGTGACGATATAGTCAAATCCATCACGAAATTGGATTGCGCTTTGGATGTAATAACTCTTACCGGTGGTAAACAGACAACTATTTATGACTTTTTTCCTAATCAAAATGAACAAAATTGAGATTAAGCTACTACATATGTATAACCACATTTTTGATTCTTTACCCTTAATTCGTGAGTTTTGTTGTACGAATCTTTGAAATTAACTACATAATGTTTGCACCCACAAAGATATGTACCTACAAAAAAATTTTGTTACTTGCCTAATTGTTTTTAAATAGAAAACACATACAGTAATTTGATAAAAAAGAGTTATCATTTATTAGTAGAAGTTGTTCGCTATAACAAGATGCGTAGGTAATGTTGAGGTGAATAAAACTATTTTTTTACCTCTTTATAACGAATTTTAGACCATCCTAACCTTAACATAACGAACCTCAGTTTAACGTATTACTCGATATAACGAATATTTACTTGTTCCCCTCCGATTCGTTATATTGAGGTTGCACTGTATATGTAAATTGGGAAGAGGAAGTGGAAAATGTTCTTTCTAACAGTAAGCCAACGCTTCTGCAATTGCCGATATCTATGGGCAGCGATCTCTTCGCTATTTTAGCGATTTCAGGCGACCACATGCTCGTTTGCCACCTTATATTAGAAAAGTCTAGCTCGCCAACTAATTATAGTGCCAATGTATAAAAGACAATCGCTATAATTTGTATTTGGAACCTGTACATCGTATATTTTGATTAAAGCCCAGCTTTGCACTTGCACGTGTAGAACATGTTATGTAAACATTAACCACGATTTCTATATCATACAAGAATACCCAGTTGCGGATATTATATCTTTAATACTTCATTGTTACTTGATATATTAAAAAAGAAGCCAAGAAAGCCTTACTCATCTTATCTTTTTACCTTTATCAACAACACAACGCATGCCCTTAAACATAGATTTACTACTTTTAGTGTTGATTATAGATTTCCATTTGATGTAGTTCTAAGCGCTTCCTGTCTCTTCCAGATTCATAAATGACATGATCACAAACATGCAATCTAGTCGGTTTCGTCTTCTCTTAATATGCATACTTTGTTCCTATGTTCTCCCATGCAAATTGCATTCTCAAAACGCATCATTACATCCTATCAGTCGGGAAATAACAAACTAATTTTTATTATAGGATTTATTTGCCAATTATCCTTATTAATTCAATTGTTGGGTTCAGTGTATAAATTGATAATGCGAACATCCGCACATTAACGGTAACACGCAAAGTCATATATTTACATTACTTAACACTTTCGTGTTTATAACGTGTAATTAAAATCAATCTACAATCATATACTGGTTTGTTTTAGTACAATTAAAACGAAAACAAATTAAATGATTTAGAAACATACGTAACAGTAACATAGATTGATCGAGCCATTTAATTAATAATATTCTGGCTATTTCTATAATGGGTACTGTAAAGAAATTTGTTTTATAATTGTCAGATGTTAAGCAATTTCATATAGTAAGATAGTACATATTTGTTATGTATATTCAATCGTGTTTACTCTTAAAATTTGGTCTGTAACTTTGGCATTATTTCAAAATGGCGCCTTATATTTGGTAAATTATCTATTGCCATTGTCTAATTTTTTGATGAAAAGATAAAAATAATATTATGAGATTACTCTCAATGTTATAATGATATGATTGTTGCTACAAAGTTCAAGGTTTTATATAAAGCTTATAAAAGATTTATTTTTATTTTCAGAAGAACTTTCGTATCGTGCAATTTTAAACGTAATTTAAAAAGTGTAACATTTTTTTCACTATTCGTCCGCGACTACGTACACGGAAATGGAAAAAGACTTAATTAGTAGCCTATGTGTTCTTCCAGACTACGTTCTACATCTATGCTAAATTTCAAGGAAATCCATGAAGTCGCTCAGGAAATACCTTTTATCAAACATTCATCCATCCATCGATCCCATCATTTATAATATTAGTAAGAGTTTTCACTAATACTAATACTAATACAAAATATTTATAACAAATGAAATTTTTGTATATTACGAAAAATACTTCCTCCTTTTCGTACAAACATAAGAATGACACTAATTAAATTTTGAAAGTAAACATCCATATACTACGTAATGATAGCTTTAATTTTGTTATAATTTAATTTGTTTACGTGAAAATATATTACGAAAGGTGACGCAAGAAATCTTGTATAATTGGTATAAACTACCAAACAGCAGTTACTAAAAT